AACAATGTCGTCATCATCCCCCCACCCCCCCCGCCCCCCCACCCCGACCCCTACGCCCCCACCCCAATCCGAAGCCGAATTTTTCACAAATATCCAGGAGTGGATTTTGGGGCAAGAAGAAGTGGTATGACACGACGAACGTACCGTAAATACCGAGTAAAACGAATGTGATGTTAAGAGGGTTTGTAGCAGAGGTGGTTGGTGGGGGGGGGCGCCGACTCCTACTACTGCTACTACCACTACTGCTACGTCTACTACACCACTGCCACTACTACTACTGCTACTACTACTCCTCCTCCTCCTGCTGCTTATGCAACTACAGACCAGACCACGACCACGACGATGCTGCCGTTGCTTCCGCCTCCTGCGGCTGCTACGCACGATCCAACAGCTCGTGATTCTGTGTCCTAAACACCGCTGAGTCAAAGGTCCCAGGAGCTTTCGCTTTCAGGACCGAAGCCGCAGATGCCATGGCTTCCTTTCAAGGACACTGAAACCAGCTCCGCATGGTCTGAGGATCCTCTCGACTGCAGCGAACACAGACAACTGAGGTAGACCCAAGTCTCGGCCAGCAGGCAACGGCCATCGGGCTTCAGCGGCTTGAGGCAGTCCTCGCAGTGTCATCGACTCTGGGTTCTGATCCAGATGCGCAGGAGGGTGGTGCAGATGAGCTTCGAGCTAATTGGAAGTGCTAGGCGAGCTGCTTCACTCCATCTGGCCATGCAACTGCCACTAAGGCGCCTTGCAATCTACGACTTTAAACCAGCAAAGAAGAGAGACATCAGTGCACTGGCATCTGTCTTTAGCCACGATGGGCCACTGCCGTCGGATAACAACGATTGGGTGTCCGAGTACTATGACAAGACTCCTTGTTGGAGGCATCGATGACAAAGAGCACTGCATCCTTCAGTTGCGGGGTATCCTGCGAATCGCGAGCTCCCGGCGTGATCGGTGAAGTCCGGGTTGTGTAGTATCCGTCAAACCCAAACTCTTATTCTGTGTGCAGAGGACTGGGCCGGGCCAGGTGCCCATCGGGTCTTACGCCTATCAAAACCGTGAAGGGAACCGAGGAGGCCAAAACAAGGTGACGCCACATGAAACGACTCGCGCGATAGCAGGGGTGCTTCTTAAGCCAAAATGGCAGTTTTGCCGAGGCAAAACGATGATTCATGCTTGTTTTGGGAGACATCTTTGCGCAACCTGGAAAGTTTTCGGGTCTTGCTCTCGTCATTGTTTTATCTTTGGAACTAGTGTTTTTGGTGGTTTTGCTACTGCGAACACAAGGTTTTGCGTTTGATGGCTTGCTTGTCCGGCAGCATGTCTTTACAGTTTTCCGGATAAAATGTCCTTTTTGAATTTCGGTCGAGGTTTGGGTTTGTGGGGCTTCGGTGTTGCCATGCCTTTGTAGTCTTTGGGGGGAGTTAGGGCGAAATGGCAGTTTTACCGAGGTAAAACGATGATTTGTTTTGGGAGACAGCCTTGCGCAACCTCTACAGTTTTCGGGTCTGTCTTTCGTCATGGTTTCATCTTTAGAATTCGTGTTTTTCGTGGCTTTGCCGAAGCGAAAACAAGGTCGTGGGATGTCGGGTTTGCTTCGAACTTGAAGGTTTTGGGGCTTGCACTGCTTCGCCAGGGCCTGGGATGCTGGCTTTAAGCTTCTAGCTCGAGGGCTTTGGGCTTGCATGGGATGTTTGTTTGGAGTTTGAGAGTTTGGGCTCAGTCGATATGGAATTGTAACAGTGTACTACTATAAGATTACAGAAAGGACTGGCACAGCGTAGGCATCTTGGTCTGCAAGCGCAAACTAACTAGAGAGTATATGGTTGTAAGACAATGCAGTACAGATGCAGCACCAGTGGCAGCTGCAGCAGCAGTGGCAGCTGCTGCTGCAGCAGCACAGCAAGGGTGGCTAGTGCAGCAGAACGACAAGCACAACTAGTAGAGTAGCACTGCTACTCCTATGACTGCTCGGTACTAGAGGTCGTCAGACAGAACGAAACCAGCCCGCCCCACCCCCAACACCCCAGAAGCAAACAAAAACAAGCAAAAACAAGCGTAACCTGCGGGTCAATTGGTAGTGCGTTAGCAAAAACAAGGCTCTAGCTCGGGACAAACGTGAGCAAAGCGCAAAGCAACAGGCACAACACAGATCAGTCCAACCAGCACCAGGCGTTGCGTGTGGTTGATGTTGGGATTAAATTAAGGTGGTCTTTGGATGCGGCCTTGGCATTACATGTCGAAGCTAAACGCTCTTTTCTCAGATCTTTGTCCTCTTCGGAACCGCAGCCTGTGTTCAGAGGTGTCCCACACCGAGCGCGACACAAGCAGCATAAGCAGCAGCTTGCTTGGCTGCCTTGACCTTTGGCTGGGGGTCTCCATGGAAGACCTCCCCGTTGACAAGCACCCGGTACGAGAAACTGCCCATGTGGCACCCACCGCTGCGAGGAAGCTCCTCGTAGTCCGCGACCGACTGTTTTGCATGTGGCCGACTTTGTTTCTGCATGTGCAAGTTCAGCTTCGACACGTAATCTTCGTTGTCATTAAAGCGCCTGGAGTCGACATGCTTGATGCACTTCAGAGGTCGCTCCACGCCTGTGAGCCTGTCGAGAACTTCCTGACGGACACGCTCAGTGCTCTTCAGGTCCGTTGCCCATGCATCGGTTTGAGGGCACTGCTTCAGCTTGGCATCGATCTCATGCGTCCATTCCATTCTGACAACGCGCACGCGGTGATGATCACACAACGGGGCAATAACTTTAAGAAGAAAGCAGCGGCGATTATCTGCAGAAAGCCAGATCTCCTTCTCGGGATCCGAAAAAGGAGATCGCCTGCCCAGCAACTTCGCGCGCCCCTTGCAAACCCACACCAGCGGAAGCTTTGGGATGTCGGCCGGGCGCTGCACCAGCCGAACCATGGTCTCTAGGACACATCGACCATCAGAAAAAGTCTTACGGACGGTGGCCTGAGTAGGCATTAAGGTGTCGATGTCAACCACCATCTCCTCGAGCTTAACTCGCAGACCGTTCGGAAAGTCCGAGTGCGCGCGGGCTGCCGGATCGAAGGCCAAAATCGGCTCCAGTGCCGCCGGCCCCGGAGTGCTCCAGCAGTTCACAGCTGTCGAGGATGGACTCAGATTCCGAAGCTGCTGCTGCAGCGCGGATCCCCGTGCCTCTACCTCTGCGACAAGCCTCTCCTCCTCGAAATCACAGCACATGACCACATATCGACTGTTCGGATACCTCGCTCGTCCCCGAGCTTGAATGAACTTGATCACCGTCCGAGCAGGCTCCAGTCGCACAACGACGTTGCAGCAAGGGATATCAATCCCTTCTTCTGCAACAGAGGTTGCCACCATAACATTGGCATTTCCCTGACGAAAGTTCTCCAGAATCTCGGCCTGCTGCGCAATGGTCATGGTGTCCTCCTCTTCAGCACATCGTTTGTTATGGCCCACTAGGCAGGTAGGCAAGAGCCAGCCCAGCTCAGCTCTGCGTGCAGCTACCGACTTCAAGGCTCTTACCATGTTCCTTGCAGTGTTTCGTGTTTCCACGAACACGATGCAACGAAACTCACCGGAATCATGCTGCTGAAGAGCGGACAGAAGGCAGTCAAAACAAGGAGAAAGCCCGAGTCGGGAGTGTTTTTGCAGCTGGTCCCATGTTGGCTTCAGCTCTGCAGGAACTTCAGGCATCTCGATCTCCTGAAACGCTGCTGGGTCCCATCCGAAGCATCGAACATGCGCTGCAAGCTCGGCGACTCTCTTCATCTGAGTCGTTACACGGAAGAACTGATCGCTTTCAGGCGACCTCAGATGTTCCCGTAGTCGAAAAGCCCGTGACAAACACTGGCACCACTCCCCGCACAGCTCTGCTGCAACCAAGAGACAGCGCAGACTGCTCCCTTTGCAGCTCTTTCCTTCGGGTCTCTGCTGCAGCCATGAAGGCGCGGAACTCTGGGCTGCAAGCGACAGCCTCCTTGACCAGCACCGCTGAGGGCACCTGCTGCCGAAGCTCTGCTCCCAACTCCTCCGGCACTTGCACCAGCTGGGCTTCCAGGCGCTGCAGCAGCCTCCTGGTCTGCTCCAGACTTTCCTGCAGCGACTGGCGGCTGGGTCTAGGTCTACGTCACCAAAGCACTATATATCAGCAAGCATCAGCAGGCGAAGCCGTCAAGCCAAGGAGTTTCGGCCGCTGCAGATGCGGCTGTTTAGAATAAGCCGTCGCGATGTGCGAGTAGTCATGGCCACCATTCCCCCGCTTGGCCACGACATGGTGCACCTCCTGAGCTGCAGAAAGGGCTACGGGAGGATGGCTCAGGACTCGGATGCCTGCTTGCAAGCGAAGACTGTGCCTCTATTGGGACAAGCATCGTCCAAAACGATCAAAGACATTGTGCTCAAATCCCCTCCAACGATGTCCTCCCGGACGGAACCAGGCGTTGCGAAAACCACGTGGCAACGTCCAAGGTTTGTTCTGCGCCCTCCAGCAAGAATGCCAGCTTGAATCGGCAAGCTTTTCGCCCTAACCTCTGTCTGAAACTCTGCATGCTGCTGCCTGACCAGGGGCACCGTGGGGGCAAGGAAATACACCAACTTCCCGCGATGCCGTTTCAGGGCCTGCAACATCAGGTGGAAGGCTATGAGAGTCTTGCCGGCCCCTGTTTGAAGATGGATCACGTGGTTTCCAGGCCGTAGAACCTCTGCTGCCAGAGCCTCCTGATACCTACGCAATCTGGACATGGCTCTGATGTTACGTAGGACGTAGGGCCTTCGCTCGAGCCACTGCGGCAGGAAAGTCGGACAAGCACATGGCCTCTACAGTAGGCCAGCTCTTGGTTGGTCAGCCCCCGCAGATTTCCTGAAAGCAACCCCAAGAAGCCGCGAGCTCCTGCGGATTCGGGCCGCCCAGTTCGTCTTCCGGCTCTTCCGGGTTCAAAGGATCGCCCGCCTGGGCAAGCAATTTAGGGCTCTGAGCTCTTGAGAAAAAGGAGCTCAACTGCGTTGATACGAGCCCGCAGGGCGTCTTTCCATCTCCCGACCCTTCCCCTCTGAGCCAGAAGTCCCTGCCATCGTAGTCCGTGGGGTCAAAGTCCGCCATGGCTCAGGACGGAGGGGTTTAGAGCTTGAAGCTTAAAGAGGGAACTGGGGGTTTCAGGCTTCAGAGGTTCTGGGTTCGCGCCCTTTGGCTCGAGCTATGGCTGGCCAGGCTTTGGCCCAGGCCCGGGGATCGACGTCGTAGGTCTGCTCAGCTTGGGACACATGGCGCTCGCGTCTGATCCAGATCGTGTGCCAGAGTCTAACACGATTGAAAATAGCTCGAAGACGCGAGCTCCCAAACTCTCACCGAACGACTGCTCGTGTGAAAGACCCAGCAGCGAGCGACCCAGCCTACACGAGGCTGACGGAGTCACTCACCGCGTGGGCCTCGGCCAATCCCAAGGCTTCTTGCGATGGTCACGATGAATACGATGACCATGACCCCGATCTGCGGGTGGTCAACTAACACAGATGCTGGGATGCGCCATCTCGAGCCTGGCGGTTAGACTCATGTCCTTTACAGCTTTCTTGGACCCAAAATCGCAACTTCGGCAACTTCCCAAACCAGGAGAAAAAGCACTGAAATCATGCCCCTGAAGGCCTCACAGAGCTCAGCTCCTCGAGGATCCATTGAAGGTCCCAAGGTCAAGCGGGGCTGCCTGTGACCCGAGACGACGTGAGCCTTAGTCGTGGATCAGAAACAAGGCCTAAGGGTACTGGAAAACAGGTACTCAGCTGAGAAGCGGGTCAACAAGTCCCCTGCGGGCATCATCATGTTGCCTTCTGAGCTGACCATGTCCGAGACGGCATCTTGAGGTGTCAGAAGAGGCAACAAAAACTGTGCCACCTGCATCCAGCAGACAGGGAATCCGGGAAGGACTTCACAAACCACGATGAACAACCGCGTGAGGATCTTTCTAGATAGCATGGCTAGTTCCGGCATGGCTGGTAGTAAAGTGTCGTCTTCCTCCCACCACTTGAAAGTCCACTTGAATAGGCAGGGACCAGTGACGAGAATGGGAGCGCCACTGGGAACTAGCAGCTGGTACTCCTCAACACCCACTACGCTGCGGAAGATATCAATTCGCACCAAACCTTCTCCATCACCAGCAGCAGCGGGCTTCACGGAAACTTGCGACCAGCCTGTCAGGCACCAAAAAGAAATCCCACGCATGCGCACAGCTTTCGAAGACTTTCGTGCTCGCACCTGCTTTGACGCATCACCTTCCTGCCGCTCTTCGAGGCCATGAGGTTGGGCGGCCAGGCTTCGTCAGACCGGTAGGCAAACGAACCCAGGACAGGGACGCCGTTGCGGAATACGGCGGCACTGAGCCGGCCATGCGAGAAGAGCGAGCAATTCCTCGACGCCGCACTCGGCTAGCCTGCAGACCAGACCACGGACCTGAGCCACAAGCTTCAACATTCAGACGGACAGAAAGAGAGGGAGACAGGGACGGACTGATGGGTTCACAACAGAAAACATAGACCGATACAAGGAACACATGCGCACACACTGCATACCTACGTGCCTGCACACCTGCCTACCTACCTACCTACCTACCTATACCTACCTACCTACCCTACCCTACCCTACCCTACCCTGCCCTGCCCTGCCCTACCCTACCCTACCCTACCCTACCCTACCATCCTACCTACCTACCTACCTACCTACCTACCTACATACATACATGCATGCATGCATATACGTATGTACATCTTTGCATGCTTGCTGTGAACACACTGCCTTGTTCTATGCACACAACTCATATAGTCTTGAATCTCATACAGTTCTGCGTGTGCAAATAAGTATGTACCTATGTCTGCACGTACATGGGCTTCATGCACGCATGCATGCATTAACGTGGATGCATACAAAGGTATGCGTGTGTGCGCTCGCACATACCTATTTGTGCATGCATGTACGTGTGTAATATGTCGGTGTCTGTGTGTGTGATTGTGCGCGGGCATGTGCGCATGCATATACAAACGTACATAATTGTCTATGTATGCATGTCCTGTATGTGCGTATATATGTATGTGAGCGCGTCTGTGTCCATTATGCACGTGCGTGTGTGTGTGTGTGTGTGTGGATGTGTGTATACATGTGTATATAAGCATATATATATATATATATATATGTGTGTGTGTGTGTGTGTGATGTAAGCGTATGTATGCATGTCGCAGATTTCCGCAGGAATGCATGCACGCATGTGCATGCATAATCAAGCACGCCTAATCACGCCTACCTGCACACAGACAAACAGACAAACACACAGAGAGAAGAGAAAGAGAGAGAGACAGACAGACAGACACAGACAGATAGACAGACAGACAGGCAGACAGCCAGGCAGGCAGGCAGGCAGGCAGCCAGGCAGCCAGCCAGCCAGCACGCCAGCCAGCACGCCAGCCAGCCAGCCAGCCAGCTAGCCACCCGGCAGGCCAGACATACAGACATGCAGACGGACACATATTCATACATGTATTCATACATACAGACATACATACGCACATGCATACAGGTTCATACAGGTTCGTACAGATGTGAGAATTAAGCTAAACACACACACACACACACGCACACGCACACGCACATGCACACACACACACACTGCACACAGGCATACCTGTGCAAACACGTGGACATATGTCGGGCAAATACATTGACATACTCAATCAGACTGTGTCCGGCGAATCTTCGTGTAGTCGGAGCTGTCGGCCGATGTGATCTTCCCCACATCTTGTATTTCGAGATAACGCATCAGAACACTAAGTGCTAGTAGTGGTATGATAGGCACAGAGCACATGCTGACAGAGCTTTCCTGTTGCCGAAGCTCCAGCGCAAAAAGGCGCGCAGACCACTCACCAAACTGCTTCCAACTCAACCGAGACACGTCCGCATCACCCTACCAAGCCTGTCAGTGTATGTTGCCGCGAACGACAACGACAACAGCAAATTTGAGTTTGGGTCAGGGTGAAGGAGTGTTAGAGCCTAGCCCTAACCGCTCTGACAACAGTTGCTTACAGGAGGTAAAGCTGTGATGGTCCCTAGGCCCTAGGCAGGACGAGCCTGCCAGCGGCTGCGAATAGCTCCTCCCTGCCGCCACGACGCCTTAGAAGAGCGTGAAGTAAAATGGAAGCTCCATCAACGGGCACTACAAGGTTACTACAAGGTTACAGTTTAAGGTAAACTCTCGCAAATGTCGAGACGCCGAGCTCCAGGACCTGCTGGAAGCTCTCGGCCCGCTTTGCCGGCACCGAAACGGTTCCATATCCCGAACGCCTCATCTGCCACAGCGGTGGCCTGTACCCTGCTGGTGGCCTCGGTGGACCCAAGGGAACAAGAAGAAACCAGCATCAGGCCGACACTTCGAAGCGTTGCACACCTTGTCACCTGCTCCGAAAATCCGAATCTTCGAAGCGATCTCTCCCCTGCCGGGTTGCCTCAAAGTCCACGCCGAGACATCCTCGGAATCCTCGGCGCACTTGGAGCACCGGCGTGAGTGCAATACAAGATAACATAGATATGATACGATACGAGATAATGTCAGATCATATGTTTTGTGTAGCATCATGTGAGTCGAAATATACAACAATACTGTGGTAGAATATGACGTAACATACTGTCATGTCCTGCTTCTCATTGATGTCAGGCGCCAAGTCCAGGTATCCATGAAGAGATTTGCCATAAAATATTCTGCAAACCAAGGTTCTGCACGATCTTTTCCGGCTCAAGCCCGTGAACCAGCTGGTTCAAACATACAGCGCTTGAATACAGACTCCAGCCCAACTGAAACAAAAAAACGCGAGACCCAATGCAAGAAGCCTGCCAGGTGTCCATCACTTCGGCTCCAGGAACGCTTGCAGACAGCTCTCTGACATGTCCAGCCGCCTCCGGGTTTGGGATGTCGCCTTACCCCCCTGAACCCGAAGATGACGGGCTACGATGCTTGGCCTATCGTTATTACCCCACTTTGCCCCCGGTCTTTTTCGATGGAGACTGCGAAACTGAAGCCGCACACTGCCCACAACTAAGCCGTTTTGGGGGTTCCTCTCCATCAACTGTTGGACCTTGCCTAGCAAACGCACGTGCAGAAAGGCCTCTGTGTCCGCAGTGCAAACTTGCCACATGTTGAAGACCTAGGACTTAGACCTAACAGTACGAGCAATGGCACTGGGAGTCTGTAAAAGGTGTCGTGAAAACCCAAAACCCGACACGAGAGTCCGGTTCAGAGCCTCCAAAGGCCAAATCCCAACCTGAGCTTCACAAGCGTTCATGTTGTGCGCGACGAACGATATCATGCCTTTGGAAGTGCTGCCCACATCCGTCAGCAAAAATGTTTGTCAGCCAAACTATCAGAACATGAATTGCTTGTTGTCCATCTGAGTTGGACCTGCGCGACCTCACGCAAGCGCACTGTGTGCCTTAACCAAGACACGTCAGCAGCAGCGAGAGGTCTGCGCCACACAGAAGCCTCGGTGGTTTCGGTGACAGACTGAGCACGGGAAACGTACGGAAGGGACTCCTACAAACACTGGCAACTGTTGTCTCGATTGAACATCTTTCGGGCAAAACCACGCAGCTTTGACAAACAGTAAAGTCTTTAAAATACGAAGAAAAACTCCAAGAACAAGTTCCTCGAAATATGCATGGACGGCAAAGCAAAATCCGCTGTATCGGGCATGGATGGTGTGGTGTCGCTCTTCGAAGGCCTTCTAGCGTCACTTGAGCAGCAGGGGTCTACCTTTTCCTCGCGTGCCGCGAGCACTCACGGAGAACCCGACCTGGTCGAAGACAGATCGACGTCCCGCACTGGATGCCGTGCAGGACGCTGTGCGTGTTTTCTAGAATCGCGAAGAGCTCTGTACGCCATCGCGAGGTGTCAATGAGTCAAACGACCCAGCAAAGCCGCATCGATTGCAACCAGATTTACAAAGCGTCGAGTGCCATCGCCGCCGATCGAGCCCGAAGGATGATTTGATTACAGCCCCTAGCAGTCGCATTACGACACGGCTGCAGGCTTACGCCGAATCTGGAAACCCCGGCCTGATGCATGTGCATGCCGCATACCTACAGCATCTGATTCCGAGGCGCTCCGTTTCAAGGGCAAGACTGCCCATGGCTCAGAGTCGATTCTAAACTAACCGAATCACCATTGAGGAACATGAAGCCCAACAGGAACATTGGCTAAGCTGCAGGGCGAAACACAGCTGCCCGAACAACCATTTGCTTCGCTTCTTAGCAAACGAGAAACTCTAAAAAACTGGAAGCCGACAACGGCGTGGATAGTTGTGCAGCGCACGGCCCAGTTGCATTACTGGCTTGGACATTCGATTCGCCAAAAAGGCATCTTTCCCTTTTTCAACAAAATTGTTACAAGCAACAACAAAGCATTGCAACGCCACCACGTAACGTCAAAGCGAACGAGGAGGTGAGATGCAATGGCACTCGATGTCCGCCATGTCTTGCCGAAAAGCGGCTCACATCTTGGAGATTCTTGGAGATTGTTTTGCATGTACGCCGCCCAAGGCTTAATGCATCGTTTCTCGACTTTGTGTTGGTGAATCATAGTTTCACTCGCAAACAGTACGGGGAGGTAACAATCGAACCCACAGCCCGTGTAAACAGCATTGAATATGGACAATGGCAGGAGCTACCTACGAAGCTCCAGCCATCAAAACAAACATCCAAACATCTTGCTCACAATTGCTTTTATGTCTGTTCAGTCCCCGCCCTGCCAGCCTGATCACATAAGCGATCTGAAGAGCGAGCTGCATTGCAAACTTTTTTACAGGAATGGTCGGAAACGCGATGCAACCAAATATCAGCTCTCTCTCAAGCCGGCTGAGCTAGCAACAAGCCTGCCTGACAACGCATATCATTGCCCGTGTTGGGTGGGAGGGTGGGAATCGGAAGATGCCAGCTGACATAAAGGACTGCAAGGGACGGGTCGAAACCATACAACAACCTCTGCCCTCCACATCACCGACATTCGCAATTGTGCTTTGTGCTTCACACAACTGCTTCCATGCTTCCTCAGGGCAGCTCGTGTCGAGCCGCAAGATCTAGCTGGGCGCGGCAATGTGGCTGCCCGTTCGAAGCATGCCTGCCTTTGCGGACAAGATGATGCGAAGCAAACGCAGGC